GCATTTCTTTTAGCCCGGTTTAAAAGCTGATGTATCCCGATATTGTAAAACCTGTCATACTTGTCAGATTGTGGGGAAGCCCAATCAAACTGTGCAACCTGCTCCCCTTCGCCCTATTCCGGCCGTAGGTGAACCATTTGAACGGGTTCTGGTCGACTGTGTTGGCCCACTCCCATGAACTAAATCTGGTTCCCAGTATATTTTAACTATTATGTGTGTTGCCACACGGTTTCCGGAAGCAGTACCGTTGCAGAAAATCACTGCTAAGGCTGTCATTAAAGCTTTGACGAAGTTCTTTACCACGGTTGGATTGCCAAAAACGGTTAAAACTGATCAAGGCTCGAATTTTTTATCTAAAGTCTTTAGAAATGCTCTGAAAGCTCTAGGAGTGTCCCATGTCGTGTCTAGTGCTTATCATCCCAAATCCCAGGGTGCTTTGGAGAGATGGCATCAAACTTTGAAATCCTGCTCTGCGAAAATATTGCTTGGAGACGGGGAATGAATGGGATGATGGGGTCCCATTGGTTTTATTTGCTCTTCGTGAAGCGCGGTAAGAATCACTTGGTTTTAGTCCGTCTGAACTGGTTTTTGGACACAACGTACGCGGTCCTTTTAAAGGTATTGAAAGATGAATTTTTTATTACCAATCCATCTGAGAAAAGCAATGTGCTTGATTTTATTTCCCGTACCCGTGAGCATTTACAAAATGATTGTGCTGTTGCAAAAGAAGTGCTCTCTCTGTCACAAAAGAAAATTAAGCGCTGTTTTGACAAGCGAGCTGTTGACCGCAATTTTAACGTGGGTGTGTCATGTGAATATGTTGAAACCATATCTGTGCCGTGCTGATAAAGCTGATGATGCAAATAACCTTTCTGAGTGTAAATTACAGACTGTGCCGAAGGCAGAGCAAGTGTCCATGCTGTCCCATACTGTTGAGACTGAAGATGGGGAGGATGGATTGGAAATACCCAGAGAATTGTTGAATGGTGGTTGTTAAGAATTCTGAAAGTGCTGCCATCCCAACTGTTTTATTTATCGAGTGACCAGCGACAGGATGTGAAGGACCTGGTAGAAAGTTTCCATAACTTGTTCAATGATGTGCCCTCAGGTACTGCTGTCATCCAGCATGACATTGAAGTGGGTAACGCAAGTTCAATAAGACAGCATGCGTATCGTTGTCCAGCGGGTAAGCGGAAGACCATGAAGCGAGAAGTGGAGTATCTGGCTTCACTAAAAAGAGTAATAGCCCTTGGAGCTCACTGTGTGTTTTAGTACATAAGGAGGATGGGTCACACCGTTTTTGCACTGATTTTCGTAAGGTGAATTCTGTTACTGTGCCAGATGCCTTCCCACTACCACGAGTAGAGGATTGTATCGATAATCTTGGTAGTGCTCAGTACATTACTAAATTAGATATTTTAAAAGGATACTGGCAGGTGCCTCTGACTGAACGCGCTTCTGAAATCTCAGCATTCGTGACTCCCGATTCCTTCCTTCAATATACGCGGATGGCGTTCAGGCTTCAAAATGCGCCCGCCACTTTCCAGCGGTTAATGTCTATGGTGCTGGGTGCTGGGTGACCTTCCAAACTGTAACGTTTATTTGGACGATGTAGTTCTGTACTCTTCTACTTGGGCTGATAACATTTCTCTTCTGTACAATGTGTTTGGTCGATTAACTACTGCCTCCTTAACATTAAATTTAACGAAGTGCGAGTTTGGAAAAGCTTCTGTTACGTAAGTACCTGGGGGAAAAAAGTTGAGAACGGCCAGGTACGTCCTGTTGAGGCAAAAGTAAATGCTATTCTTGCATATCCTGTGCCTACCACACGTCGAGTTACGAAGATTTTTAGGAATGGCCGGATATTACAGATGTTTCTGTAAAAACTTCTCGACTGTGGTCACTCCTCTAACGAGACTGTGTAGCCCAAAAGTTGTCTTCAATTGGACTGACGAATGTCAAAACGCATTTGTGTGTGTAAAATCTCTTCTCTGTAGCGCTCCAGTTTTGTCTGCTCCTGAGGTGGATCGCCCATTTAAACTCGAGGTGGACGCCAGTGCTACTGGAGTTGGAGCTGTCTTGTTGCAGGATGGAGCTGATGGCGTCTCTCACCCAGTGTCATATTTTACGGCTAAATTCAATCGTCATCAAATGAATTATTCCACCATAGAAAAGGAGACACTCGCTATGTTGCTGGCTTTGCAGCATTTCTACGTGTACGTCGGTTGTAGTACTATTCCTGTTATTGTGTACACGGACCATAATCCGTTGGTGTTTTTGAATCAAATGTATAATCATAACCAACAGTTGATACGAGAGAAGAAACACCAGCAATTAAGCTTCTTTGTTCCTTTATTGTCCTTTTTTGTTCCTAAGTGTATTAATTTCTGTTTTGCTTTGGTTATGTTTCAGGTATAAATATTATTTTTGGGTTAACTGTCCTTTGTTAGTTATTTGGAATCTTATCGTTTGTTTTTGTGTTTTCCGCTATTGAACACACTGGATTATATAGATATGATTTAATTATTATTTAAAATATTATTGTAAAACATCAAGATGACAGGGTGGACCAGCACATGATGGGGTGGACACATAAAGTTCTATAATACATATTTGCTTTAGATAAAAGCATTTGCAAAATGACTAAATAAAGCAGGACACTCAAAGCATGACAAAATATGACAATGAAACATATATTCAACTTCGAAAAAAATAATATAATAATAATAAATAATATAATTACATTGTCAATCACATTGATACCCCCCCCCCATTCATTTTAGTTTTTAGCAATATTAACTACAAATGAATGCTATGTCCACCCTGTCATGTGTATGTCGAAAGGGTGGACATTTTGAGCTCAATTAGCGTATTAGCTTACAACAAACTGTGACTAGCTAAATAGTTAGTCTGGTTGTTGAAGAGAATTTGGTATATTTAAACATACATATTTTGAAAATACTGTATTCTAATCACTTCTGCTCATATTTTAATTCTTGCAGGAGTGTCCACACTCTAGACAATCAAAGACATTCTGAGTTCGCACTGCGTGTTTTTAGAATTGCATATTTTCATAATTTCAGTAAAATATTTGTTACCAACTCTATGCCTTTTGAGAGAGAAAAAAAAAACACTCACTTTCTGAAAACTGCCTTATTATACAGTATGCAAAAATCAATGCATAAAATGAATAGGATGTCTGAATACTCGGTATTCAGGAAATAACAATACTAAGGTGAACTAATGCATCTGCTGAAATTCTCAAGTGTGCACTACCCAGTAGGCACTCTGCTTTGCCATGAGGCCAGAAAATATTTGCAACATTTAAAGTAAGTGTGTTTCTACAGTTGTTATTAATACATTATAGCTCAAAGAACAAACAGGTCAAAGGTCAATGGTAATAGCGTATGTGTAATATTAATACTAAACACCCAAGTGTGTACTTTAACAATGGCTGTGAGATGTAAAATGTAGTCATTCAGTGTAGGACGTATTAGAATTCAGACACAACTATGAGTTCATGAAACAATTATTAAACCACATGACCATCACGTTGCACGTTAAATTTAGTTAAGTGGCATCCAGTTATGATCTTGCACATGGAATAATGGTTGCATTTTGAACTGTAATTTCTGTACACAGCTGGGTAGAGCTCCAGCTGTGTTTTAGGAGCTTGTTCAGATGGTGCTAGATTGCTTGAGACAAGTGGCAAGTGACAGTAAATAGCTTTGAGCAACCCAGAGGGATGCTGCTGCTCCATATGGGTTACATGGGGCCCCTGACACTTCTCAACACGATGGCCATCATTCTACAGTCACAATGAGTGTGACTGACAACCTATGACACTGGGATATGGGTGAAACCTCTGCTGAGCAGGGTCTCGACAACCAAAGAAAGTCTCAGATACTAATAACTTGCCACATTGATTTTTAAACTGTCCTGTGATTGGTGTAAATGTGGCTCTCGATACATGTTGTCTGACTCACCATTTGCATTAAAAAAAACTCAAATCAGAAAGTCAAAAGTGTCAAATCAGCCATTAATATTATATATATATATATATATATATATAGTCAGTTAAACATTTTGCTGCTAGTGTTTGGCATTACATTTTAGCCAGTTTAAAAAGTGATCATTAAGACACTGACATCTAGTGGAAACAAATATATCGCTATTAATAATAAAATTTCCATTGAACCCTAATGCAAACTGCCAGAATTTGCATATTCCCAAATTTAGTTTAGATTTACAGGGACATACAGTATTGTAAGGTTATTTCTGTAGACAGTTGTCATTTTCAACTTTGAAAAATCTTTTTCAATGTACAACTGCTCAACAGATCCTTTGTTACTAAATGCTCAAATGAAGTAATGCAAATCTTGAGATGTTGATGTGGAATTTTAATGCATTTTTTGTGCTTATGTTGCGAGTCAGCTGCCCAGAAACAAGTCAGACTGTTTTCAAAAACAGAAAGCAGCATTGTTCTGTTCCTTTGGCCTTTTAGAATGAGGGAAAGGACGGAGGTCTCATTTGATAACCTTAGTTAATGCATTAGCTAAAATGAACTACGCACAACATATGTTTACAGCATTTAAACTATTAATATACAATTGTTCATTATGTTAGTTAACCGTGCATTAACTAATGTTAACATAAAACTTTTGATTTTAAAATGTATTAGTAAATGGTGAAACTAACATTATGATTAAATGCTTGAGAAGTATTGTTCATTGTTAGTTCATGTTAATTGGTGTAGTTATCTATCCAAAGAGTTACCAAATTTCCTCAAGAAAAAGGAATCTGCTAATAGAAAGAATACTGCGCTCTGAACCACTACACAGCAGAGCATTATTTCAGACTATCACTGATGAGAGAGACGCTGGGGAAAGTTAAGAGTGTGACATGCACTTTATTCAGTAATGCTTTACAAGAACGAACAACTAAGAGTTACAAAAAAACTTTTGGGAAAAAAAAAAAGGTTGTTTTGGATACCAGCAAAAAACATTCAGAACAGTACTTTTAAGAACAGCAATAAAAAAAAAAGCAAAAAAAAAAAAAACAAGAACGAAAGAGGGAGATTCGATCCCTCTTGTGTCTGATTGAGACGCTGAACGGGTCTCATTCACAGGAAGAACAGTTTCTCTGAGAGCTGGATGGCAGGCTCTGAGTGGAGGTACTGACCAGACAGAAAGGCCAGTTTGTGGGCGTACTTGCACGGTGCAGGAACGCGTATCGTTCCGGGCCAATTCCAGTACAGGTGGCACATCTTGAAGGTCAACCTGTGTTAAATAAATAAATAAAATAATAAATACATACATTTTTAACTTTATTTGTAATATATAGGTTAGTGCTGTCAATCGTCAATAAGAAAAAAATCTGTAATTACTAGTGGTTAATTGCATAGAACATTATATGTAATCAAATATATTTTCACAATCGAATCTCCAAATTAAAGTAGAAACATCAAGATGTTATATTTTACATATATATTTTTTTTAATTTATTTTATAATACGGAGAGTTCCGGTCCTTGATTCTGATTGGTTGAGCCGCATTCGAAGCTGTTGTAAATGACTCTACAAAGTAACATACACCTTTGTTTACGTCTGTGTGTTGCTCGGCAACCACTTTGTTGCAACCACAACATGTTCTAAATATCATTACACTTTATTTGCTCGGTTTTATTTTGTGAAACCTAACTACGTATATGGAATAACCGTTTTATAAAAGCAATAAGCCCTGTGAAGCCGTGGTTTACAGTGAATTTATAACAGCTAAGGGGTGTTATAAACTCCGCTTTATAACTCTATAACTTTATAACTCCGCTTCGCGTCGTGCCTAACAACGCCCCTTAGCTGTTATAAATTCACTGTAAACCACGGCTTCACGTGGCTTATTGCTTTAATATATTTATTTTACTGCCATCTTTTACCAAGTACTCCTGTTAGCTGTTTTGTTTTTAACACCAATTTCTGTGATAAAATGGGTAAATATAGCCTTTCAACATTCCAAAAAATGTGTCATCATTTTTTAACTCTTTCCCCGCCAGCGTTTTTGGAAAAAGTTGCCTGCCACTTCCAGCATTTTTGCTGATTTTCACTAAAATTTCTTGGCCCCCAGAATATTTTATTGTATGAATATCTAAACGTGAAGATCAGACTCTCTACTTTCAAACAAAAAAAATCTGTTTTATTCCTAGCTTCAAGCATTGTTTTTTTAATCAACACTTGAATGAAGGTAGGTTTCACTAAAAAAAAGCAACATTTTGAGCAGCTGTGAAGCTGAGAAAATCGCATTTTTATCAAATACTACATCTGGATCATATTCAGTAATATTATCAAAGCAAAGATGCAGTAGATGGTTTCCCAAAGCTTGCATAGGCCTTTACCACTTTCTGGATTGACATTTCACTCGGTAACATTAGGCAGTTTTCATCTATATGCGGTAAGTGTTGATGATCGCATTATTTTTCATATGCATACATATGAGATCGCTCGTTTCTGCTGCTTCCTCGCCTGTGCTTTTGATCGCACTTTCTAGACTCATTCAGGAGATGCGTAATAGCGCCCCCTAGCGTATAACAGTGAGAACACGGAAACACGGAAAATTCCGTGTTTGGCCGGAAAAGAGTAAATATGCCAGCTATTAAAAAAGTAACTTTTATCCTTGTATAAACCTATGACATTTAATAGCACATTTAGCAGTTTCTTTAAATCCGTAATGTTAAAGCGAACCTCTGTAAGTGGTCAGGGGTGAGGTTTGCAGTGTTGTACACTGCGATGTAATGAGTGGGCAGGCCGCAACCCTGTCGAATCGAATGTGCCATTAGGTAGAAGTCCACCCTGAAGAGAAGAGAAACATGTCAATTCATATACCACGTTTTATTTCCTCCCGCTAATGCACTTGACTAGATCTCATTTCTGCAAAGCTTTGCACATCTAGTTGCTAAAGCCGTTCGCAGAATCCTGAGCTGCGCTTCAGCTCTTGCCAACCAACCAGTCTCTGTTTGTGACGGTGTGGTCCAGTACGGTTCCTGGCGAGGGCGTGCCGAAGTGGTCGGATCCGTAGGAGTACAGGGTGGTGCTGATCCTCTTCTGCACCACGATGAAAGCCAGCTTCGGTTCGTAGTTCGGGATGGTCTCGAAGCATTTCAGAACCTGAGGGATCTCGTAAAGCTCCACAGTCTTGAGCTGTCCGTCAGACACGCCGTCGCGATAGATGACGATCTTCTCAGGGAAGGCGTGGTTCACCTGTTTGTAAAAAATGGGTAAAATAGGTCAAATACACCCCTGTACAACATTTCAAGAGTCAAGAGTCAAGAGGCATTTATTTATCATTTGCATAGTTAACACTGGGGAAAACTGGGCATTGAAATGCTTGTGACGAGGCTCAGACATACAGTGACAATAACAGGACCATACAAAAGAGCTGTAATCAACAAACAGCATCCGCACATAGGTGTCTCTTCCCTCCAAGTGTTCCAGGGCAGAGTGTATGGCCATTGCAATGGCGTCATCAGTGGATCTGTTTGAGCGGTAAGCAAATTGGAATGGGTCCAGGGTGTCAGGTAGAGAGGAGCAGATGTGGGATTTGACTAGACGTTCGAAGCACTTCATGATGACTGATGTCAGTGCTACAGGGCGGTAGTCATTCAGGCAGGAGACAGTTGTTTTTTTGGGAACAGGGATGATGGTGGTTTGCTTGAAGCATGTGGGGATCACTGTTAGTCTCAAGGAGAGGTTGAAAATGTTGGTGAAGACATCTGCTAACGGGACAGCGCAGGCCCTCAGAACATGTCCGTGGATGCCATCTGGACCTGGAGCTTTCCGGCCGTTGACTCTCTTGAAGGCCTTACTCACTTCGAGTGTGTTTAGAACCAAAGGGCAGGTGTCAAGGTCAGCAGGTATTTTCACAGCAGGGAATGTGTTGCCTGTCTCAAAGCGAGCATAGAATGTATTGAGCTCGTCCGGTAAGGAGGCAGACAAAGACACAACACTGCTTTTTAGGAGACATATAGAAGCTGTAGCATTTACGAAATTCATTTGACAAGTTCATATAAATGCCTCATTACCTCGTAGTATTTCTGCAGGGCAGCCAGCAGACAGACTCTGAAGCCGTTGATTATCTCCTCGTGAGGCATCTGGAAGGTAACCCTGGAATACCATTTGGTCAGCATGCTACGCCGGGACAACAAACACAGGGTTAGGCCTGATTCACAGATCTCAAATCTGATGCATACAAGCAGAACATGTTCATTTCTGCGCTCATATTAACAGCTCACAGTATTCACACTGTTGGGGAAGCTAGTTTAAATTATGAGTGGCTTGACAAACTACAGTTTTAGTTAGTAGACATCAGCTACTACATTTTAATCTATTATTGGGGCAATATCTAAAGTTGGCATGAAATGAAAATTTACCACATCTATTTTCTAAATGCATGTCACAGATGCTTTGGTGAACAGCTCATCGATGCATGTGTTAAATTTTTTTTAAATGTATTTATTTTCTGACCTAACGATATTTAATCAAAATTTCACTGGATCTTCCAGACTTCTCGTGACATACAGTATATGCAGGACTTCTCCGATTTTATGTTCATCTGCCTCCACTTTTGAGTGCAACGCCCACTTCTCAAAATGATGTATGCACCTTATTTTTCCGGTAAGAGCGGGCACAGCCATTTGTAAATTTAATTCGTCTGGCTTCCGGTCTCATCCGTGTCCAGCTATTTTTAGCTGTACAAAACAGCTTGTTTTGCTGCTTGATATTGCAAACTGGTGTGCCTTACCATTTGTGACCCTGGAGCACAAAAGCAGTCTTAAGTCGCTGGGGTATATTTGTAGCAATAGCCAAAAAAACATTGTATGGGTCAAAATTATAGATTTTTCTTTTATGCCAAAAATCATTAGGATATTAAGTAAAGATCATGTTCCATTAGACTTGTACCGGTATTCGGTAATGCGATATATCACGGTAATGAATATGCACGATATTGTTATCGTGGGCACTTCTAAATACCGTGAATAATTATATATTACAAATTATTCCGAATTTTGAATGCATTTTAAGAATACTTTTCCCATAAACTGGTCAAAATGCACAACACCGCCGTATGCTGCATGAAAGATGCGTGCGCACTCTGATGTAAACAAGCGCGGACGAGAAGCACATGGAGGAACATGTGAGAGACGCTCTGGATAAAAGCGCACTTTCGCACCGGAAACCCTGTAAACAAAGCAGCTGCACTACTTTCTGTTTCTGAATCGTGTTTAAATGATTTAAACAGCCATTCAGATTTATGTATTCACTATGATGTTCATCACAGCGCCAAATAATTAAATATTTAGACTTAATAGGCTATTTATTTTCAAACTTTTTTTTTACATTTTAATCTGGACTACAACATACCCTAGATATTGTTTGAAAGTGTTTTGATTATTGTTCGGTCACACTTTACATTAGGGCTTCATTAGTTAACATTAGTTAATTCATTAGTTAACAAACTGCCAATGAAAAATTCTTCTGAACATTAATTAATCTTAGGTAATTACAATATTTAATAACACGTTGTTAAAATCCAGAGTTGCAGCTGTTATTTAATGAGCTAACATGAACTAAGACTTGTATTTTTTAAACAAAGATTAATAACTTCTGTAGCAAATGTAGCTATTGCTCATTGTGAATGTTAATGCATTAACTAAGGTTAACTAATGAGGTCTTATTGTAAAGTGATACCTATTGGTCTTTATAGTTCTTTTGCACTTTAATCTGTGTAAAACTTTTAACTTTATACATTTTTCTGTATTGCTTTATTGCATTTAAATGTTCAGTTATTTTTGTTATAAGAAAAATGTTATTAAACCTGTTATACTGTATTATGACAGCACTTTTTAAAACTAAATTTCAACATCGTGAT